ATGTCTCCTCCCTGGACCCAATTCTACCAGGTTAGTTCCTGAGAAAAAGGAGTTCCTACTTCCCACTGTTGCCAGGGTTATGTTATATTATTATAACACTTGTGTAAGATGCATTAATTCTGACTCAGTCTGTGATAGGTTCAGATGTTTTCATTTGTGCTGCAGTCTGTCTCATCTTCTTGTTAGGTCACTGCAGTGTGTCGCTGTTACTTGTCTGGGCATCATAATCAGGAGCATTGTCCTCCTATTGGGCATACGACTCAGCGCCACACCAAACTAGATCATTGTTTTGCACAACACATAATTGACAGTAAACAAGTCGATTATAAGTGCTGTAATGAAAAGTATCCTGTCAAACCTCATAAATAAAATGAGCCAGTTCAGCAATAACCTTTTACCTACTTTTCTTTCAGTGTCTCTGATGGAGCAGATGTATGAGTTAGCAGCTAACAGACATGCCCGAGGACTCTCCCTATATCCATGTTATAAAACACTCATGCAGAAAGCTGCAAGGACCCTGTACAAAAAACGAACAACAACAGTCGATCATTTATTGTCTCATTTATTAACTCATGTGGTTTGTAATGTTTCTTAAAGGTAATTTCATTCACAAAGATTCTTCCTGCTAGTCGTTCTTCTAATAGTAGCTCTGCAAACTTACTGGTTTGTAGAGCTATGACCGATGGGTAGTGTTTGCTGTCAGGATTTGATGGTGACTGTAAAATGAAATGTAATCTGTTTTATTCTGAGAAAACAACAACAACAAGTTCACACAGTTTATACGATTAAAAACAATTAAACTCAATAATAATTTAAAAATGCGAGTACAGTGCAGTATAATAAAGTACAGTACAGCATATCTGTACAAACATAGACACACTGTGTCACACTCATGTCAAACAACTGGCTCGGTTCCAGTTATTGTGGTTGTCTCTCTCATCTATAATGGCCACTGAGACATTTTTACACTGTACAGTCTATTAAGTTTCATGTTTTAAAGGAACATGCAAAATTGTTGTCTTTGACTGAGTCTACTTTACTTCAGATGACCATGTTAGGACAGCTTATTCAATGTGAACGCACAGTAATTAGAAAAGCATGTCTACATTTCCTGAGTGACAAATACAGAATTAATTACTGTAGTCTAAGACTTGCTCATCTGTGGCAGAAGGTCCAGAATGAAGATGTTATAAAAGATCAGAACTTTGAAGATGATTTGTCTGTGTGTGTCACAAAATTGATGTGTGGCAGGATTGTGGACCCAAACGCAGGATTGAGAAAGCAAGATGTAAAGTCAACAATGCAGCTTTAATGCTGATTGCTCACCAAAGCACATCATCCAAAACAATTCAAAAGGATTTCAAAAGGCAGACAAGTCGAAGAACTCATTAGACTACAGAGCAAGGGAGCGCACACCTAAACGGGACAACTCAACAAAGGGCGAGAGGAGACTGAGACCATGTACAGAAAATGTACTGAGGGAAGTAGGAACAGGTGAGAAACACAGCTGAAGGCACTCAACTAAAGAGACGGGGAAGTAAAACTCAACGCAGAGAACAACACTTTTAAAACAAAACAGGAGGCGAGACAATCGGGAGACACAAAAAGACCCAAAGACAAACACAGAGACTAAACAAGACACTAAACACAAGGCATGAACACATGAACATTAAACATTAAACATTAAACATTAAAGAACACATGAGCACACACAGTCTCCACCCTAAACAAAACAAAAGGTTTTTAAGCTTCAATAAACATGAAGCAATAATTCAGAGTAAAATGCAACTTAAATTCATTAAATCAATTTATTACTCAGTTAAATTATCATTAATTACAATGTGCTTTGGATAAACTCAATTTATATCAGTCAAGTACATTTCATTTTACATTTATATATATATTTAGTTAAAGTCATAATTTTAGGAAGATTTATTGATTGATTAGGTTTTGTTTGTTTTTTCTTTTTGTTTCTTGGATTTTTGGGTGAAAGACTGAAACAGAAACAAAAGTGAAACCAAGAACAGAACTTTGTTTCTCTATTAGTCAAACTAAAACTTAAAATAGAAATACAAAGAAACAAACAAAGCCATGCTTTGTTAGATAAATGAAAACAAACTCAAAAACCATGTGAGCTTCAGCTAAATTATAATAATTCGTTAACATATTATTCAATCAAATGGGGGTTTTTTGGTTTGCTTTTGTGTTGATACACAATTGTACACCATTAAACAATCTGTAATACTTTTAATTGACCTGTATTAAGATAACAAAATCAGAGCTTATCTTTTAATCGTGAGATGATAAGACATGGTAAAAAAAGTGCCTGGCTTCTGTGCTCGCTGTTAAATGATGAACAAATGCTGCCCTCTATTGTCTTCACAGATGTGGTGCCGATACTCACAGTTTAATATGACAAAAATTCAACTCTGTTCTCTTACAGAGACGATTACACAACCTATTAATTAAACTGGATCAAATTCCAACAACCTGCCTCGTGCTTTCAATGGAGAACTGAAACAGGACAACTCAACAAAGGACATTAGAGTTGTCTTTTATACAATTTTATATAATTTCACTGCAGAATAATAATTTTATTCACTGCAGAAATGAATTTGCACCTTATAGCAGTTTCACACAGAGACCCGGGGTCTGTCTAATGAGCCGTGCTGCGAATAATTCAGCAGCTGCACACACAGTCTCTCAGATTTATCACATTGCTTTCTCACTGTGATTCTTTCATTTCATGCATTGTTTTTGTGGATGCTTTTTTGTTATTCATATGCATTTCTTCATTTAGATATGTCTTTTCTGCATTGAGCATCTGCTACAGAGCATTTTCATTAGTGTTCCTGACTTCATGCTTTTTCATACAAGCTCTTTGTTATCAGGGAATTGATAAAATGATCTCTTGTTCTGGCACGTCAAAGTCAAAGCTCTGAGTTTGGATACAAGATGAGGTTAAGTGACTTAAGTGAGTTTTATGACAAAGTGGAGGGGCTGAAGCTATAAGAATGTGAGGAATGCTCAGACACTTCGAGATCAGGCGGACACCCACCCGCGCTCATCTCCCCTCCGGATGGTTTATGCACATAAAGTGTTGAATTGTATGGAATAAAAGATTGTTGATTGAGCATTTATACACCAAGTATTGTCCTTCCTTCAGCCCAAAGATCAAAAGAATTGGGAGGTTTTAACAGAGTTTACCCAGAAACTCAAGAATGTTTAGTGTTACTGTCAGACTTGGGAGTAGCTTTTTTAGTTTTTAATCTTCTGGGTTTGGAGTAACTGACAACAAACACTAGCAGAAACCACCTTTAAATTCTATTCGCATGTCAGAGAAACAAAATGCTAACCTTGTATTTACAGGTAGTTTACTCACAGCAGTTTATCTAAGCATCTCTATCTGACATTCTTGATAAAACAATGGCCGGTATTTCAACTGACACGTCATATGAGAAACATATCATTATATAATGAGTCAAAAAGTATGCCACGATTCTGACTCAGTCTGTGATAGGTTCAGATGTTTTCATTTGTGCTACAGTCTGTCTCATCTTCTTGTTAGGTCACTGCAGTGTGTCGCTGTTACTTGTCTGGGCATCATAATCAGGAGCATTGTCCTCCTATTGGGCATACGACTCAGCGCCACACCAAACTAGATCATTGTTTGAGGGAATTTTTTAAGGAAATGTTTTTACTTACCAGAATAGCAGATTTATATAACAAATATAGTTAAACTGGTTATGCTGTTTCTTATTTTATGTAACAGTGATGGGATGCCCAACCCACATGAAACCGCAAGTATGAAAGGAACACAACGCATAACTGACAGTAAACAAGTCGATTATAAGTGCTGTAATGAAAAGTATCCTGTCAAACCTCATAAATAAAATGAGCCAGTTCAGCAATAACTATCCAATCATTTTCAACTACTTTCTTTCAGTGTCTCTGATGGAGCAGATGTATGAGTTAGCAGCTAACAGACATGCCCGAGGACTCTCCCTATATCCATGTTAAAAAACACTCATACAGTGGTGACTGGAAAATGAAATGTAATCTGTTTTATTCTGAGAAAACAACAGTGCAGTATTATAAATTACAGTACAGCATATCTGTACAAACATAGACACACTGTGTCACACTCATGTTACACAACTGGCTCAGTTCCAGTTTTTCAAGTTCTTTTAATACAATAATCTCTTGCTAGTATACACAATACATGCATTGTGGTTGTCTCTCTCATCTATAATGGCCACTGAGACATTTTTACACTGTACAGTCTATTAAGTTTCATGTTTTAAATTATGCTAAATGATGAACAAATGCTGCCCTCTATTGTCTTCACAGGTGATGCTACGTGGTGCCGATACTCACAGTTTAATATGACAAAAATTCAACTCTGTTCTCTTACAGAGACGATTGCACAACCTATTAATTAAACTGGATCAAATTCCAACAACCTGCCTCGTGCTTTCAATGAACTGAAACGGGACAACTCTCTTGCACCTTACAGCAGTTTCACACAGAGACCCGGGGTCTGTCTAATGAGCCGTGCTGTGAATAACTCAGAGCCAATAATGTATATTAGATTGTCAGTGGCTTAGAGTTTGTGACCATAACAGTACAGAAGCAAACTATTTGAGTATAATTCATATGCAAAAAAACACTCAAAGTTCTAACAGTATTATTGATTGCATATGTTTCTTCCAGTTTTTGAACCCAATTAGAAAAAGGAGACTTTGTAAAAATCTCATATTGTCACAGTCCTAATGCCAATATGATTCTTCAAAGCTCCTGCTTTGAAATGCTGAAGTTTAAAAATTGACCTGGTGAAAGATAATAATTCATAAATCTTTAATATCACTGTAGTCAGCTGAATCAACTTTCTCGAATGTGCTGCGAATAAATGCTGCTGCAACCCACTGTGGGAAAGCTGTGTTATTAAAATGAAAACATCTGTGACACGTGGAACACATTCACAGAGGACACAAAGGGAGGACATGCAGAGGATGTATTAAAGTCAAAAGTCCAAATCTTTAGTCAAAAACAGGCAGCGGTTACAAGACAAGGAGCCCATCAAACAGTCTGCAGGCTCAAGCACACAATGAATTCAAACAGAAGTAAAAAAACAAAAAAAAAAAAAACTGGACACTGAAAAATGTAACAAGGTGATGTGGGAGGGGACAAAGGGAAGCAGCACTGAATTATTGTCATTGAAAGAGCAGAGATTGCAAAATTATTCAGGAAAGGACTTCAGGCTTACTGAGACTAAGGCCTCTGCTACAAATCTGTCTCATACAAAAACATGTTGTACAGGTACAGTATGGTAAGTGCTCATAGTAATTCATAAGCCGGCTCTACCTGAACCCCTTCAATATTTCTAAGTTTGTGTTTTTTTAATTGCAGTCAGAGTGTGGCTGCTAAAGGTGAAACACATACAGAATGTAAACTGAGCTTGGAGACCTTTGTTAGTAACAAATGAGGCCAAAAAAACAAAACCCAAACCACACGAACACGATATTCATTAATAATTAGAAAGCATCTAAACATTCTGGTGGTGGATTTTTACAGTCTTCCGCTTGCTGTCATCTTCATAATCACCGTGATTAATACGTGACTTGGCGAGGTCCTGAGGTAGGCGGGCTGTCTCTGGTGATGTTACCTTCACAGGCAGGAACAGCGTCTGGCACGAGTTGGGGAAACATCCCAGTGCACTCGTGTAGTTTCCTTTCCAGCTGTTTGACATTTGACACTTTAACATTAAAGGGAACAAGAAGAAGCAGACTTAGGTCAGGTGACCACATGGTTTGTAAAATAACTGACAGGAAGTAACCAGGTAGTTAGAAATGGATGGCAGCATGTGTTTAGAGGGACTGCGTTATAATTTGTGTAGTTAGGTAACTATACTTACCAAACACAGAAGCACACAGACGAACAAGGATCAGATGCTGAATGTTGCAGGAACAGGCTCATGTGTGGTGGTCCCTGAATGCTGCTCTGTTCTTGTCTCTGTCCTTTCTTGAAGCTGGCAGGTTGGACAGTCCAGTACTGATATCCTGCCCATCTGAGGAGCAGTTTGAAAACACACATGCAATAGTGATGGGATTTCCGGCTCTTTTTAGAGAACCAGCTCTTTCGGTTCGGCTCACTAAAAAGAGCCGGCTCTTTCAGCTCTGAACCGGCTCTTTGGGTTGTTTTGTTGCTTTATTTAATTTATTATTAACGATAATATAAAATTATGCACAAAAGGAATTACTAATGTAAAAACAAACAAAAAAAAAAATCATATATTTATATATGTTTATATATAAATATATGCGGTGGCGCCTAGAGACAAAACACGTACAAACTCCAAAAAGCACGTACAAACTCCAAAACACATTTTTAGCATGAACTGAACTTCCAAAGCAGAGCTACCTAGATCACTTAAATTACACAATTGAAAGCATATGTGTATTGTTTGTGTATTTATACACAAGCATTCATATATAGATTATATAGTCAAATAATTAAAAAGCAAAGTTCATTTACCTGTTATTACCACACACCAAATCCAGTCGCTGGTACTTGCTGGCTTGTGTAGCCACTAGGTAACAAAAGCTCAACACTGCCCCTAGCATCCTGGAGCACTTCTGTTGTCTTTTGTACGTGTTTTGAGTTTTTATGTGCTTCGGAGTTTGTACGTGTTTTTACGTGTTTTGGAGTTTGTATGTGCTTTGGAGTTAGTACGTGCTTCAGGGTTTGTACGTGATTTGAAGTTTGTATGTGCTTTGTCTCTAGGGGCCACCGTAAATATACTTTTATTTATTCACTCCACATAAAATGTAATAAATAAATCATATAATACAAAAATCAACTATTCACATTTCATCTTTTAACTATTTAAATTTTCAGCTTTTTCCTTTTACAAATTTAAAGTGAAACAACACAAAACACTGCAAACCACAACACAATTAAATATAAATTATAATATGAAAACAAAAAGAAGATGCATATTCTCTGTCATATGGACCTGCATGAATAAACTTTCTGAATCCTTTATTATCTGCAACTGAAAATAGTTGTGGATGATTACTATAGCTTTCTAATGTGACGTTGTTGTCCCTGGCTCTCTTTCTCTGTCTCTCCCTCCTGCTCTGTTCCTGTGCTACTGCGAGTGTAACTACCCCCCCTCTTCCCAGTGTAAAGCACAAGGCTCGCGTGCTGAGTGAAGCGGAAAAAAAGTGCGAGAGAGAGGGTGAGAGAAAGAAAAAAAAAGAAAAAAAAAAAAAAAAAAAAAAAAACGGCTCGCCATAAGGAGCCGGCTCGCCTCGTTCACGTCAAAGTACCGGCTCTAAGAGCCATTTCGTTCGAGACCGACCCATCACTAAGTTTGAACCCCAGCGGCAATGGTTTGAATCCCATGCTTCCCATCTGCTTACGCTCTGTACTCTTCTCAGTACACCTTCAGCCAGCCTAATCTGTAGTCTGTAGAGCTCCAGACTCATTCTGCCTTTTTACCCTTTTCTTCAAATCCCTCCTTAACTTTTCAATCTGTTCTTCATGTCCTAACAAAGGCTCCTAACTCACTCAATTTCCCCTCCATCCACACAATTTAGACATCAAAACATACCTATATTCCTCATTGCCATTAGTTAGTTTTCTTTAGTTGATAGTTTTCGAGTTACACAAGGTTTTTAACAGGAAGAAATGGCGGTTTTAACTTCTCATTGTACTCTACAAATGTAAGTTTTGTTCATAGAGCTGGCGGTAGCCCACGTTTAGCTCAGAGAGTAGAGAAGGCGTTAGCGGTCCTGGTTCAAAACCTCCCAGCAACAGTATGTTTTGAGCAGACATCTCAGCTTTTTTGCCTCTTTTCAGCAGACCATTTGCAGCTACACGGCAGTCACTACTTTACATCCTTTCTTTTTTGGTGGATATACCAGAGCTTGCAGGTCAGACCCCCACTATTTATAGAGTGCCAGCAAGTTTCAGTAATGTTAATGTGCTTGTGTGGAGCAATGAGTGTATAATAGATGAAAGACACAACAGCACTTCTTCCCATTGTGCAAAAATGAAGCCAAAATATCCCGCTTGTGGGAGCTGCACGTTGCACTTTTGGAGCCTTGACTTCAGGCTCCGGTGTTGTGCCAGAAAGTGATTGCCTGCCAAAAACTGATTTCCAGTGTTTCTGTGTATTTTTCATGTGTAATATCTTTACGCATGTTGGTAAATACACTTCAGTGAACAGAATTTACAAAGGGGTTATATATAGAATTAAAAAAAATTTTGTTTTTCCAAGTATCTTTATAACTCTGTGTTATTGTACTTACATTATAACCAATCCAGTCCTTTATCCCCACTTAAAATATTTTTACAGAACTATTGTGATATTTGCTGCCATTTCTGCTGTCCTCTTGGCCAACTTACTCTTACAAAAGACATTTTTAATCTTAATGAGATTTTTTTTAACTGCATAAATAAAGGTTCTATGAAAGTCGCTGCCAAAAACTGATTGCGGCTTCTACCTTGTTACACGAATGTTGTTTGTGGCTCAATAGGACTTTGTGTCATCCATGAGGGATGCATTTGACATATGTTTCACATATTATAGCCCAACAAGTTACTTATAGCAGTTTAAATACGAGCAATCACTTTTTGGCAAATGCCGGAAATCACTTTTTGGCACAACACCGGTACACTTTTTAGGTAGGCAGACTGATCCAGTTTATCTGTTAATGGGTTTACCTCGACTGACTACTCGGTCAGTTAAGGTTAATACAACCACGTCATTATTAAAAAAAAAAAAAAAAAAAAAAAGACACACAGCTTATCATCTTATCTTCTACAACACCTAAAATCACTGTTAATTTGTTTGCTAGATTAGCTGCTAGCATACACACTGTGTTAGAGGCTTGCTGCTAGCTAGTTAGCATGCTACACACCTGTTACTCTAATACTCTGCATTGTTTGAATAATTCAGCACTTCTTAGGTTTTGTTCTCCATTTTTAGACAGTAATGAGATCAGCTGCACACTCCACAGAAGTCCAGAGTTACTTTTAATATTAAAAAATGTAATGCTGTCCTTTGGGTTTTTAACAGAGATCTTCACCAGCAGCTCCCTCACAAAAAAATGTAACAGTGCAAATGCAAATTCCTTGCTGAAAGTTTAACCAAAAGGCATTTCCAGTAGAAATGGGCTGAGATATCCTGAGCATAACCATGTATAATATCCACTGAAGTTAAAAAGAGGTGCTTTGCAACATTAAACTGCAGTGTGCAGTATGCATTTTTCGGACCATAAGGTGCACGGGATTATAAGGCACATTAAGCGAAACAAAGCAGTCAGATAATAACTGATGATGCCATAGCCCTGACACTACACACTGCCCTGTCACACCTGGAGAAGAGAGACACGTATGTAAGAATGCTGTTTGTAGATTACAGCTCAGCATTCAATACCATCGTTCCCTCGAAGCTGGACAGGAAACTGCAGGATCTAGGACTGAGCAGCTCCCTCTGCAGCTGGATCCTTAGCTTCCTGTCTGACAGACGCCAAGTGGTCAGACTGGGCAGCATCACCTCATCCCCCATCACACTGAACACTGGTGCTCCACAGGGGTGTGTACTGAGCCCTCTCCTGTACTCACTCGACACCTACGACTGCACAGCCACTAACAACTCCAACATCATTGTGAAGTTTGCGGACGACACTACAGTGGTGGGTCTTATCACCAATGGTGATGAGACGGCCTACAGGGAGGAGGTCAGCGCCCTGACCCACTGGTGTCAAGACAACCATCTCACCCTCAACGTCGCAAAGACAAAGGAGTTGATTGTGGACTTCCGGAGGTGCAGAGAAGTACACACCCCCATCACCATCAACGGCGCTGCTGTGGAGAGAGTGAGCAGCTTCCGATTCCTTGGTGTACATCTGGCTGAGGATCTTACGTGGTCAGTACACACAAACAAAACAGTGAAGAAGGCGCAGCAGCGCCTCTTCTTTCTCAGGAGACTGAAAAGATTCGGCATGAGCCCCCGCATCCTCAGGACCTTCTATCACTGTGCCATTGAGAGCATCCTCACTGGATGCATCACCACCTGGTATGGCAACAGCACCGCCTACAACTGCAAAGCTCTCCAGCGAGTAGTGCGGTGCTCTGAACGGATAATTGGAGGTGAGCTTCCCTCCCTCCAAGACATCTACAGGAAGCGGTGCCTGAGGAAAGCGGGGAGGATCATCAAGGACTCCAGTCACCCCAGCCATAAACTGTTCAGACTGCTTCCATCAGGAAGGAGGTTCTGCAGCATCCGGTCCCGTACCAGCAGACTGAGAGACAGCTTCTTCCACCAGGCCATCAGACTGCTGAACACGTCATAGACACCTCAGCTTCACTACTGGAACTTTAACATTATGCACTCCATACTGTACAGTAATGCCACTGTTTTGCACATGTCTCAACTCTGTATATTTTTATATATTTATTGTTTACTCTAATTTGTAAAATATGTGTATACACACACACACACACACACACACACACACAGAAAAATATTTAATATACACATCCAGAAATGCATATACTATTATATATTGTACATATATTTATTAGTTTCAGATGTAGCCATTCTTGTATTTTGCACAACTCTGTTGCTTGTGAAGCTCGCACACAAGAATTTCACTCACAAGTACTGTACCAATGTACCTGCACATGTGATGCGACAATAAAAGTGATTTGATTTGACATAAATCAAACTTTATTAAACTCATTCTTCTTGCTTCCTCCACTTCTGTAGCATTGATGCATTAATGTTGAATTCTCTGGCAGCTGCGCTATTCCCATGTTGTTGCAGTAATGACTAACCTTGTATTGTGGATGGATTATCTCAGTTGTTCTCCTGACTGAAGTTTGGTCCATTTACAGCATCCTGCCATGCGATTGCATTTGTCTCTAACTATCAGGAACCTTAACGTTAACTTTTATAAGTGGAAAAGTGTTAGTGTTCGTCCTCCAGCTTCACTGTTTATGTTATGCTAACATAGCTGAGTCGCTAGCGATCACGTAGCACATCATTATATACCA